TTTTATCTTGGTAACTGCAGACAGCAAAGGTGTTCGAACAGGCCTTCGGCTTCCATATCCCATACAATGCAGTGTACGGCTAATTTGCCTACAAATGTCAGGTGGTCATAAAAATCTGGCCACTCAGTGTATATTTACTAGAGGCCCAGTGCCTGAAATTCATGCACAGGTAGGGTCTGGCCGGCCCCGCCCCTGATGGAGGGGGGGCCTCTCGGAGGTGGGGGCGGTTGGGGGGAGGGGCCGTGGGTGATTGGCCACAATCCCCATCCCCTGGTCGAACTTCCAGTCGAACTCCTGGTAGAGGGGACAATTTGCATATTAGCCTTTTAATATATAGGATGTGTCTGGATTTTCTTCCTCATATAGTTCAACCAAAACAACAATGCAACACAGTAAATGCAGAAGCAGACACAAAAATCCAATTTTCTTCTGCTAAACCAACAATTAAACTGATTTGCAAAAATGTAAAACAAAGCGCCACTTTTTTCATTAAATTTTTTGTATTGGAAAATATAGTTTTTTTCATAAAAATATGCTGTTTATGCTGTCATACAATGGGCCCACAGTCTTTTTAATGAATTAATAAGTAAGTCTTTTTAAAATTTATGTTTTAATTTTTAAGATGGTTTAAGTATAGACAGATATAATCTGGGGGATAAAAAGCTCTTTGGACCTCTCGATGATTTCTAAGAATGTAAAGTGAAACCATAAAGTTTGAGATCCGCTGTATGAGATGAACAGCCTAAGCTTATGCAAGGAGGTACAGACAAGACAGGGAAAAGGCTCCAGAGCAGGCAGAATGGGATGCAGTCGGGCAAGCCTACGTTCAATCCCAGTTTCATCACCTAATCTGTTTGCGACTCCAAGCAATTAATTTCTCCACACTCCTGTTTCCTCTTCTACAAAATGAGACCTCCAAGCAATTTATTTCTCCACACTCCTGTTTCCTCTTCTACAAAATGAGACCCACAACACCCACCTCAGGAAAATCCCTGTAAGGATCACACTACTGAACCTGTACAGTACATCAGGTTATATTACACTGCTGGGAACAACGCTGTTGTCATCAACATGTCTACACAGTAAACACAGTCTCAAGAAATGCTTCCACAAACTCAGGGCACCGGTAAAATGTAGTAAACCCATCATGCTATCACAAATGGTTAAATAACTTTAGATTTTCTTTTTTCTTTTCTGTGAGGTAGAAAGTTTAAGTCTCGATAATACAAAGAGGTCTTGGGATTCTTCTCCGGCATGGAAGGTAGCCAGTGAGCTTTTTGCTAAAATATTCGCTGCTAGGATTAGTGAAGAGACATGGTATGCCTGTGCATTGGGGAAATGAATGCAACATGATTATAGTAATCAGTCATTAGCGAATGTTGTAGTTCTAGTTATTAATAATTATGTATAACAGGATATTGTAAAAATTAAGTTATATTGGCTGGGCCACAAATATATCCGTTGTGGGCCACATGCAGCCCGCAGGCCGGGAGTTTGACATGCTTGTCTTACACCATACACAAAAATAAACTCAAAATAGATTAAAGACTTAAATGTAAGCCCTAAAATCACAAAACTCCTAGAATAAAACATAGGTAATAAACTACTTGAAATTGGGGAAACAAAAGCAAGAATAGACAAATGGGACTTCATCAAACTAAAAAGCTTTCTGCAGAGCAAAGAAAATGATCAACATAACAAAAAGACAACCTAGTGAATGGGAGAATATATTTTCAAATACTACAGGGTGTCCCAAAAAATGTATATATACTTTAATAGCTGATAGACCAATTTTTTAAATGAGATGTATTTAATTATTCAAAGTGTGTGTATACATTTTTTGGGACATCCTATATATCCAATAAGGGGTTGATATCCAAAATATATAAGAAACTCATACAATTCAATAAAAAATACACAATTTGATCAAAAAGTAGGCAGGAGACATGAAGAGACATTTCTACAAAGAAGACATACACAGGGTCAACAGGTATATGAAAAGATGCTCAACATCACTAATCATCATAAAATGCAAATCAAAACCATAGTGAGATATCACGTCACACTTGTCAAAATGGTTATTACATTGCCCTAGACCAGTGGTCGGCAAACTCATTAGTCAACAGAGCCAAATATCAACAGTACAACGATTGAAATTTCTTTTGAGAGCCAAATTTTTTAAACTTAAACTATATAGGTAGGTACATTGTTATTAACTTAATTAGGGTACTCCTAAGGCTTAGGAAGAGCCACACTCAAGGGGCCAAAGAGCCGCATGTGGCTCGAGAGCCGCAGTTTGCCGACCACGGGCCTAGGTGGTCCTTGTGCCCTCGCGAGCGATGTCATCACAAGATGGCCGTCACAAGGTAGCCATGTGCACAGCAGAAGTGGGGCCAGGCAGCAGCTCTGTGTGGTGAGGCCTAGGGGTCCCGTGGCTCCACATGGCGTGGAGGAGGCCAGTCCCAGCGTCTCCACCGCCTTGTGCGGAGGAGGCAGGTCATAGCAGGGGAGGGCAGTTGTGGGCAATCGGGCCAGCAGGGGAGAGCAGTTGGGAATGATCAAGCTGGCAGGCAGAAGCGGTTAGGGGCAAGCAGGCAGGCGAGCAGTTAGGAGCCAGCGGTCCTGGATTGTGAGAGGGATGTCCAACTGACGGTTTAGGCCTGATCTTGATTGGGCCTAAACCGGCAGTCGGACATCCCCTGGGGGGTCCCAGATTGGATAGGGCGCAGGCCAGGCTAAGGGACACCCCTCCCATGCACAAATTTTGTGCACCAGGCCTCTAGTTTTAAATAATTTAAACAGGAGAATAAAGCTCCAGAAAAGAGAGACTAATCCATCAGAGTCAAGACTAAACATGAGAAAATACTTGCCTCATTTATGCATTCCCCTAACCTCCTCAAGGCAGGCAATGTCCTAAATTTCATGATGAGGACACTAACAAGGTTCAAAGTGTGTCCACCTACCCAAGTCTTAGAGTCACGTGGCAGAGTAGTTCTGGAAGCAGGTCTCTTTTTGCAAATAACCAAATTTGTCTAAAATTACATTCCAAGAAAATTTCAGATGAATTATGCTTACAATAAGGATGCACACTGGAGGGAAAATGTACAGAAAGAATCACTTATGAGGTTTTGCAGTATGTACAGGGTGAGGCAAAAGTAGGTTTACAGTTGTTCAGATAGAAAATAATACAATAATTAATAAATAATAGTACAAGAATAAACTCTGGCCCTGGCCAATGTGTCTAAGTGGTTAGAGCGTCAGCCCATGCACTGAAGGGTCTTGGGTTCGATTCCCAGTCAAGGGCACCCACCTGGACTGCAGGTTCAATCTCCTGATGAGGGCACACGTGAGAGGCAACCAATCAATATACACCGATGTTTAAAAAAAAAGAAGAAGACACTGTTTTGCATACTTACAACTGTAAACCTACTTTTGTTCCACCCTAGTATTTCTAACTATTAAAGCACAGTTAAGTTACTTATATTTATTTTATTATTTAGGGACTATGTGAGAACAACAAATGAGCATGTTACAGCTCAAATAATGAGCTATACTGATATAGCAGATAGTATCCTTAGTTATTCATTTATATGATTAATTCATTTAATGTCCAAAACAACCCTAAGAAGTAGGTGATCAATATCATCTACCTCATTACAACAGGGGAACTGAGGAACAAAAAAGTAATTGCCCCAAGGGGACATAGTAAGAGGCATACAGGCCTCACACCTAAGCAATGGGGCCCTGAGCCCCAATTCTAAAAGCAAATAAATAGTATTAATATCAGCAATTGCTCATTACAACTGAGTTTTTCTGTTAAATGAAAATTCTTACCTCTGGTTTGCTAAGGCTGGATGAAACCAAGGAGCCAGATCCCACGTCCAAATCCCATTGCTTTTTACCATGATTCTCTGGATCCAAGGCAGCAATTCGCCCATCTAAAGTGCTGATAATCACTAATGATCTGTAAGTTTAAAAATTAATGGGAAAAAGTTTAAAAGATATCTAAGATATTGAGCCCCTACTCCACACACTTGAAAGAAAACCAGCCCCTCCCAGGCTTCTACTTGCAGGAGAGAAGCATGGCCTACCTCCTCATATCACTTACTGTTCTGCCACTACTATCTGCCTTTAGCCTCCAAGACAATTGCATTGTGTCCTTTATCTGTTTACATCACTTATGAAAAGTCTCAAACTACTAGGGAACCCCTCATTCCCACACTGTAATCCCCATATGAAACTCAACATTCTCAGCTCTGTTCTCTTCTATTTTCCCCAATCCTGAAGTCTTCCCTGAATGCTCACTTTCCTTCTTGCTCTAATGAAATCTGGCTTTCCCTGAGAACACTGCTTTGGAAGCAATAACTGTTTTCTCCACACCCTTGACCGCTGCATCTAGTGATAGGGTAAGTGTATTCCTTGTACCTTGCCACCGTCCCCAGACTACTTTCTTTCTCTCCTCTCTAAAAATCCTCAGGATCAGACTATTCCAACTATTACCCCACTAGCAATTGTTTACTGACCCTCAGGTCACTAGCCCCATTCCATGAGGATTTTAGGTCCTGGTTTACTGTCACTATTAACAAATTCTTTCAGTTTCATGATCTGTCTACCTTGCTTCAGTCACTCCCAAGTTCAGACCCTTGTCCTTATCATTGCCAAACACAACTTCCTGTCCCAATGAAATTTCGAGCATCCCATCCCGAGCCAACAACCCCTTTCCAGCTCACCTCCTACTTTCCTGACTCCTATAAACCACTGACCACACCAAACCTACAAACCATATTGATCCTATTACCTACCTTCACTACCATTATGCTTTCACTTCTTTCTTATCCAGTTGAAATTCCACAGTCCTTCATTTTAAGCACTTCCTTTCTTACACCTTCAACCGCTATTCCTCTCTTGCATGTCACACCTGACTGGCAGAACTCCAACCCTCATAAAATTTAACTTTTTGCCTTTTTTTCATTCTTGCATCTGTGCAGTTGGATGTGGCTAAAGAAACACATAACCATGCTGACTGGTCTCACTTTAATTATGATCACCAAACCTCAAAGGGGCTATTACTGATGCTCAACAATCATATGATACTTCCCTAGTCTATCCACTTGCCCACTGTCCTAGGTTGACTATTAAATTTCTCATTTTTCCTCAAATTTCTGACACCTGCTCCAAGCTCATGCATCTCAGGGACTATGCTACCTATTTTTCGGAGACAGAAATAATCCAATAAGACTGTTTCCCACCACCACATCTATCCATTTATCTGCACCTGAACCCATGTATTCTCCTTCTCCTGTTACTGTGGGAAACAGTCCACACTCCCACACCCCACTACCATTTCCACCTAGGCAAGAGATCTCTTCCTCATGCATACATGAGGACTCACACCTGCAAATCTCTACTCTTGCCTCCAGACCAATTATTCTCCTCTATCAGACCATTCCTCTCAGTAGTCCAATCTGCTATGATTTCTTCCAACATAAAAACCAACCCACATTACACACAAACAACCACTCTCCCCCTCTAGCTTCCAATTCATTCCTTGCCCATTTTGGAGCAAATTTTTTGAAAGAGTTGTTATATACTCTGTCTCCAAATCCAACTATTTCTAATCAAGTTTTTGTCTCTACCACTCCACTGAAAAGGTTTTTGCCGGAGTCACCTATCACCTTCACATTGAAAACCCCGTGGTCAGGTCCTAGTTCACTTGACCTCTGATCAGCTACTTCTCCTGCCCACCATGAAACACACTCTTAACTCAGTTTCCAGAACACCATATTCTCCTGATTATGACTTGCTTACTGTGTTACTCATTTTATTGCAGTGGTCTAGAACTAAACCCGTAAAATCTCCCAGGTCTGCCTGTATGGCTAGCTCACCTAACTTAGAGGAACGCAAATACCCCTGATCATAAAAGTCAGGTGGAGTGCCTGTACAAACCAGTAAAGGTTCACAGGTTCCAGACCCACAGGATCTTAACAAGTACCCCAGGTGAGTCTCATATTAAGGCCCATTTGGCAAACATGATTTAGCTGAAAGGACTATTTTCCTAGAGTGAAATTAATATTATTACCTGAATGAAGAAGGCATATTGATCAACTCTGTCAGTAAACTCTCTCTCTCACCTAACCTTGCTTTAGTTTCCTAAGGCAGTGTTTGGATGACTGAACAACAAGCACTGTTAGCTCCTCTCCAGAAAGGTCATCAGCGACCTCCTCTCCCAATGGCACACTCTACATTTAAACAACAATCATGTACTCTTGATTCTATTACTTTAGCTTCTTCTAAATCTTTCCCTTCTTGTTCATTACGACTGCCCTTGCCCTGGAACAGAGTCTCATTAATCATTAGAGCACCTTTAAAAGCTTTTCTGACATATTCTCTTTCCCTTCTGCTCTTCCAACAAAAGAAACCATGTAAACTTCTGATGCTCCATCTGCCCTTTAAATAAAGTCCACATGCCTAGGTATGGCCCACAGCTCTGCCTGCCCCCTCCCCACCACAACCCCCCAACACACACACACGTTTCTAACCTTTTCAACAAAGTTCCTTTGTTAATTTATTTTGTCTCAGGTTTTAAATGATTTCATTTGCCCAATAAACACCACTTCTAGTGAATTCCCACATCTTTACGGGAAATATATAAGTACCAAACAAAATATTCAAGATTTCTGGAAAGAAGTAGCTAAAATTACTATATTAAGTTTGATATAAATCAGCTCAAAGCAAAGAAACATTGACTTTTAATTTTTTTCCTGGTGATATATATTTTTTTAATTTTATTTTTAGCCCTAGCCGGTTTGGCTCAGTGGATAGAGCGTCAGCCTGCAGACCAAAGGGTCCCAGGTGCAATTCCGGTCAAGGGCACATATCTTGGTTACAGGCTCCTCCCTGGCCTGGGCCCTGCTGGTTAGGGCTCATGCAGGAGGCAACCAGTCGCTGTGTTTCTCTCAGATATATGTTTCTCTCTGTCTTTCCCTCTCTCTTCCACTCTCTCTAAAAAACAAAACAAAAATTAATGGAAAAATCCTCAGGTGAGGATTAAAAAATCAAAACAAAAAAATTAAAAATTTTATTTTTAATTACAGTTCACATTCAATATTATTTTGTATTAGTTTCAGCTGTTCATCATAGTGGACAGTCATATACTTCACAAAGTGCTCCTCCGATATTTTCAGTACCTACCATACATACTTATTACAATACTAGTGTCCCAGTGCACGGATTTGTGCACACTGAAAGGAAATTAACTAGAAGAAATATTTTAATGTCGCTATTCGTCCTTTCTCTTTAATAGAAGTGACAACCAAATTTATGATCGACAATGACAGATCTAAACACACTCATGTGATTGGCGTCAGTGAGAGCTTTATATGTATTGAGCATGTGCCAGTCAACTTAGCCTTTTATATTTATAGAATAAACTTGCTTAATTAGACCTGATTTCTGATTTAGCTAAACTTTTTCCAGCCCAGTGAAGCACCCCAACTTCTCTTTCAGGTAATTGTCAGCAACACAGCAGTAAATATCAACACGAAACAGATTATTATTATAGATCATGCAGGGAGAATAAAGGGTAAAATATTTAACTGCAGCAGTGTTTGACTATATTCTGCACAGTGAGAAAACCTGAAGTCATTTTCAAGGTCCACCATTTCTTACTTCTTTTCAGTCAGGTCAAGTTTCTAAGCTTTCTAAATCTCGGTTTTCTTGCTAATGAAAAGAAAATAGGATTCCATCGAGTCTCCTATCTACCTACTCCAGGACTTCTGTGAGGATCAAATGAGATGAGGCAAGTGCAATCGCTTTACAGACATTTGGTTAAAGTATGAAATGTTTGCACCTGGCTATAAAGCAAGTCAGGTTCCTGGGCTGAAGAAACTCTAAGGAGGCTAATTGCTAAGGAGAGAAAGCCAGGCATTGCTACATGATGTCATTACCTGGCACCCACAGCGACCATTTTCGGGCTGTACTGTGGGCCCCATTTTACGCCATGGGTTCTTGGCAGCATTGGCTGTGATTTGGTGGGGTGTTGCTCCGGGGTGGTGGCAGGGCCTGTGTTCCACTTGGGGAAAGCCGAGTGTTGGTTTGTCAGTGCCAGGTCCGTGGTGCTGTTTATTTTTAAATGACCATTGCGCATCATGGCAGCTCCTGCATTAAGCATCTGCCCCCTGGTGGTCAGTGCATGTCATAGCTACTGGTCAGATGGATGGACACCTAGCCTTTTATATACACACACACACACACACCCACACACATATACACACACACACCCACACACACATACATACATACATACATACTAGAGCCCCGGTGCACGAAATTCATGCACTGGGGGGGGGG